GATGGAAATTTGAAAGCTAGGGTAAGGCTCGTTTTAATTTAAAAGACTGGAGGAGGGTGGTGGTAGCTTGGATCATCCTCGAGTTAAAAATTCATTGCTGAAGACACATTTTGAGGAAATTAGCGATGCTAATATATCAAAGGGAGAAAATTTGAAAGCTAGGGTTTCCCTGAAATGTCCACGTTCATCACAGTCGTGGCCCTGCTAGAATCAGCCCTCCTGGAATTACCACCCCCCTGGTATTATTCATAAACCGGTCCATTCCCTGGCTAATCGAAATCACGAGCGCCATTAAATCGCCTGCGGGGACCGCGCCCCTTAATCGCCGCTCGACGACGTTGCCGGGCCCGATTTGTCATCCACGAAATTGAGTCGCATCTGCACCAGGTCCCGTGCACGTCCGGGGTCGTTCAGCTTCCGAGGACAAAGCGGAACATCGAGCATCAGCGCCACGAGCAGCCGTGTGCCCACACGACGGTGCTGTGTCGCGGTACACGGTGTCCATCGGACAACATAATGCCAGCCAAAGCGAATATATACGGGCACGGACCATTAATATATGGCCACGGGGACCATTGTTGCGAATTAGGTACCATTGAGCGGCCTATTGTCGACGACGACAAGGGGAGCCGGGGCTGCTCGGTCCGCCAACTGCGTTTTGATCAACTCTACCGGATCATCCTCCAGGTCTCTTTGTCGCTGGCTCCTCGGGCTCGATTAATTTTCTTCGACTCTTTCCCGTTCTAGACCCCTTCGTCCGGACGAATTCGAACGGAAGACGTCGCGAGAATAAAAACTGGAGGGGAGGGATTCCGGGATACACGCGGCGGAAGCACACGAACAGGATGGTTTTCATTCAAAATTTGTTGATACTTGTTGAAATTTTGGTTGAAATTAAAATTTGATTGATTCAATCGAAGTCGAGTGGGTGTACCTCTTAAAAACATTTTCCTAGGCTCTTAATTACGTTCATCTTAGGTTACTGAATTAGGTTAGGTTAGGTACCTGAATGAAGATTTTTTTAGGGGAGAATGTGTTGGCAGGCGAGACGAACAAACCCTCGTATAAATTTATAAGAGCTTGAGTTTGAGCTTTATTTATAAAGATGCGATGTTCTATAATTCAAATTATAATCCGTGATGTACCAGTCTTAGATTTATTCATTCATTTATTGATGTCAAGAATCGTAGATTCAAAATACGAGCGTCGTGTATACGCGACGCTTCGAATTGGTACTATAAAACGGTGCTCTTTAATTATCCGAGAGAATTTGTTTATCCACAGTCGTCATGACCCCATCCTTACTCGCGACGTAATACCACAACAGTAAGGTAAACAAATCGTTTCTCGTTTAAATCTGACCGCAGAATTGTTTTGCGTCAAAAACGAACGACAAATCGCTAAAAAATACGAAAGCATACAATTATGTACATGTATAATTATATCACTTACCTCGGTAACAAATAATATTTCCAATATTCCAATTGACATTCATTTGTATCGATTTTTCAGTGTTATATTATCAATTAGACGCGAATAGCAGATCACTAGAACGCGAGTTTCGATATTCGCTTTATTCGATTGTTTGTTAACTTTTCTGTAAATAATTGATGCTTTTTGGCACACCCGGTACGCAGTATAGATCAGTGGCAACACTCTAGGACGATTGTTGTTCCGAATCTGACTGTAATTAAATAGTTATAAGCAATTTCCGAGTGTAGTATATCGCAGTGAATACTCGAGGAAAGGGCGGAGAACGCAGACGGTGTGCGAGAGAGAGAGAGAGAGTGAGAGGGCAATATTGTGGGACAAGGACAGCGAAAATTAAAAACGTGACAATCGCAAGTATATAGAATGTGAGACTAATACTGATACAAGAACCACTCAGTAGTGTAACAAGGAATGTATTTAAACCTTAAACACTGAATAAAGATAAGCAATCGCTCGCAAGTATAGTCATCTAGCGGCGAGCGCCGAAGCTCAAGTGGAGCGTGAGTGCGAGGAGGAAAGATATACGTGCGACAAGGACGGAGAGCGTAGACTGTGCGAAAGAGATGGTAACATGGTGCGACAAGGATGGAGAGAGAGAAAGAGAGAGAGAGAGAGAGAGAGAGAGAGAGAGAGAGAGAGAGAGAGAAGGCAACATTGTGCGACAAGGATAACGACTATATCTGGAATAAAAATAAATGTACAACCAGCTAGGAATAAGATACATATACACATGTAATATATAGAAAAGAATTCTCATATATTTTAATATGTATTATTTATTGTAGCTAAGTCAGATAGATACAAAGTCACAGGGGGAGTGGTTAAAAATAAATAAAATATGAGCAAAGTACAAAGAACAAGATATCCAAAGTAAATGTATGCTAAAGAAAAAGAAAAAATCATATGTTATAATAGTAAAAGGAAAAGTATGTTATGAAGAGATATACAGGGTGTCCCAAAAGTCGGGGAGGAGCCGGAAATGGGGGGTAGCTGAGACGATTCTGAACAACAATTTCCTTTGCAAAAATGTCGGATGGGGCTTCGTTAAGGAGATATTAAGAGAAAACCCCGACCAATCAGAGCGCGCGTAGATCGCTGGAGCGGCCGTGGTAGCGAAGGCTACGCGCGCTCTGATTGGTCGGGGTTTTCTCTTAATATCTCCTTAACGAAGCCCCATCCGACATTTTTGCAAAGGAAATTGTTGTTCAGAATCGTCTCAGCTACCCCCCATTTCCGGCTCCTCCCCGACTTTTGGGACACCCTGTATAATAATTTATATGATGTTTCGCTTTTGAATAGGTTTACACAAATGTTACAAAATACAAAGAATATATGAAAAGTCTAACTGAGTTTTAATAAAGGCAGGCTCGGCTTGCAAATGATATTAACTGAGTATGTATAATATTAGAATTAAGTATAACGAAAAACCTAACATCCCAGTCCTGAGAATGAGAATGAGTGTGAACAAATAAGAATGAATGATGCATATTAAACAAAAGGAAAAATATTGTTTTTTTGTTTTTAAATGTAAATAATTTAATGAATAAATAAAATGGAGATCGAGTATGGAAGGATGAAAGTTTAAAATAAAATGTAAAGAATGATAAAGGAATGAATGGATGAGAACAAAAAAATCATATAAGTTGTAAGAAATGTAAAAATTGTCCATCACACAGTAGTGTAATAAGGATGTAAACTTTCCTTTAACACTTTAAATAAAAACGCAATCAACGCAAACGCGACTATATCTGCCACCTATCAACATTCGGTTATATGTCGGTTATATGTATAGAAAAAAGTTGTTCAAAATGTTGATTTTTACAACATATTTAAAAATCATCGAAATCATTATATTACCTATAATACTATGTAATATAATACTATATAATACTATAATTACCAATTATTCTTTAATTCTTTACTCCCTTAATTTTACCGTAATAAAATATTGACTTAAAAGCGTATTTTCCTTACAATCCTCTTAACGAAAGTTCGACCAAGTATGAACCCTCCAGTAACGAATGCGTTAAAGTGGTACAGGAACGACAGCCACGCGATCCTTGGCACAGTGATGCCATCGCCTCGCGGAAACCTGATGGAAATAGATAAATCAGTTCTCGTGACAATTAATTCTTTTACATGGTCAAAGCATTGGTTAGCTCGGGGATGAGGGATCGGTGTCGGATTCCACGATCATCCCTTCGACGAGTTTTCGCGTGGATCAGGTTTAGGCCTCGGTGAAAATAAAGAAATCGAGGGCGAAGCTCGATGCTAATGAGAGGACGGTTGAGGAGGAGAATTAGGATTGCGGGGCACGTTCCTTGGAGCGAGAGAGGATCGTACCGCGGTGGACGGACTCGGTTTCGGTTGAACGTGCGACAGTGTCAGGACGTTAACCGTGAAATATCCATCACTGCCGTACCGAGAAACCAACGACGGTGTCCTGGCTTCGGTGGATCGGGTTAGATAAATGTAATAGTTCATAGTTCAGCTTGCTAACAAGGCTAGCCCCCCAGATCCGAGATAAAGTCGCGGTCCAGCTGACTTTGCCTGTTTATAATGAGGCCTAGCCGGGCCCGATCACCGATTAGGGCATTCTTAGGCGGTACTTCATCAATCACCGAAATCGCCGCCGATTTCGTGACGCGAAATACGGAGAGGCAGCCAGACCGGCGTGCCTCGCGGGGACAAATGACTCACAATCGATACACGATACTCAAAATCTATTTCGAGACTGGTTCAGTCTACTCGTGTGCCAACAGTAGCTATCACATTTTATCCATCATAATTAGAACGCGAAAAAAAATGAATACTTCATCGTCAGCTGGTCTTATCGTCGCGAGCATGCTCGAAACACTGACGAGAGTACCTAGCTCGTCCTCTAGCGGAGAGGATGCTTAATAATTGGATGCTTATTTAATTACGAATCCGCAAATTGGTTGTAGGTAAAGAAGAATATAATGGAGCGCAAGCGCCATCTACCGGCGTTATACAGAGTCCAGAAGTGAGACGACGCCCTCTGTCTCACATCGGAGGAAATAAAATATAGTTGTTACTAGTAGTTACACCACGCGTCGAATTCTGTGATAATGTGTCGACCTGTTGTACCGATTGTCAACTGCAACTAGGTGTCGCTTCGAGCGTTATCGACTAGGGATGGAATGAGAATAATTTAATCGAAAATTGTTAAAATCTACGTTCTCCTGAGAAAGAATTGTTTTCAAATCAAAATCAATGAGATATTACAGAGAGAACAGGGAAGCCGGAGGAGACCTCTGGTATCCTACTTGTCTCTGATTACCAGATGGTTATCCTTTATAATATAAAATATAATATATATAAATATAATATAAAGTATACTTTTAGAAATTACATATATATATGTACTTTACAAATTACATAATTACATATATATTTTTATTTACATTTACATTACTTTTAGTTATGAACAATCTAATGCTCTTATTCTTTTTTGTCCCTCACAACTTCCTTTTCCTAGAGACTCTAACTTACCAGCCTCTTTCAATTTAACCCACCATTTCCTATTTTCGAAATGCACCTTAACCTCAAAACTTTCTCACAACCCTTATTTCCCCTCAATCTTTACACTTTCCTACATCCAATAGAAAATTATCTTATTACTTATTTCTAACATAAATCACAATTGTCATTCTTCTCGCTCATATACCACCGTCCTTTCACACAACCTACCTAAACATCAGTATTAAGTACTGTCTGCTGCGTATAGTGTGTGTGTTTTGCTCTTCTGTTGACAGTAACATAATTTTAATAAATCGTATGACGCAACTGAAACATTTTATTATTTGAAGTATCATGGAAAAAAATAAAGAACTTATTGTTTGTGTGCCAGGTACGTAACCTTGATGAAACAATGTTGGTATATAAGTAACAGATAAAATACATTTTCTTTAACAGGTCAGAGATTATGCACCTCTGATAAAGTTAACATATCTGGGACTGGAACTTACGAACAGCAAGGTTACATTTATTCAAAACTTGCAGGTGTAGTTAAATTAATACCTCAAGAAAATGTAAGAGCAAAGATTTATGGTACAGTTGATATATCTTTAAGTAATGCAGTTTAATTATTTGAGTAATGATATAATCTTTTAGACTCGTATTGTAGAAGTACATGGAATCACGGAACAAAGTATTGTCCCAGCACCTGGTGACATTGTAACAGCAATGGTGACCCTTGTTAACCAAAGGTTTTGTAAATGTAGTATAAAATGTGTTGGTGACATTGTTTTGACGAGACCCTACAGAGGAATTTTAAGGAAAGAAGACGTCCGTGCCTTGGACAAAGATAACATTCAAATGTACAAGTGTTTTAGACCTGGCGATATTATTCTTGCTCGAGTTGTATCCTTTTCTTGTTACATTATCGTGTTTATTTAAATACAATTGAATGTTAATTATGGAAATGCATATTTTATTCCTATACAATTGCTAGATGCCAATGACAGAAGCACATACTTATCAACTAAGTACAGCTGAAAATGAATTAGGTGTAGTTATAGCGCAAAGCGAAGAAGGTGAGACATTGGAAATAAATAAAATATGTTCCTGCTATTAATAACCATCATGTTACAGGTGTACCTATGATACCTATAAGTTGGACACAGATGCAATGTCCGAAAACGTTACATAAAGAATTCCGAAAAGTAGCAAAAGTGGTGCCAGAACATGCTGTAGAATAGTAACATAACAGGTTACTTTTTCTCTACTACTGACTATGTTTCCTTTACAAAATAAAGCGAATAAAGTAAACTGTAATTATTATAATAAATTGGTAGAAATTATTATTATAATCTGTTAATAATACAAGTTTTTAACTTAATGACGTCCAATGTACGATTGCTTTATTATAGTTTATTATTTCCATATTAGGGAGTAAAGAAAATTTTCAAGAATCTTCACTTTTCATTGATACTGTTCTACTTGTTCTCTACCTCATCTGTGGTATAAAATATAAGATTCGAAAAAATAATGTATGAGAACATATTGCAAAATTATGTGTATATCATTTATAATTATCGACCCCTTTAGTTAGTGGCGCCATCTCACAGAAACAGTAGGAACTATTTTTTTTACAAACTTGAGCGATGGCGCCACTGGTATTAAAGCTCGCTCAGTGAGCGGTGACCTTTCTGGATGCACTCTGATGCACTCAGCCGCAGTGTTTAATTTGGATGCAATGAAATGTTTCCTTGTTGATTAGAAAATGGCAGATGAACGAAATTTTCGATCATCTTATTACGAGAAGGTAAACACTTTCAAACAATGCCTTTCATACACCGCCTAACCAATATATAAAATTCATTAAAATGTTTGTGTATGATATAAATAAAATAAACAACAATAAATGATTTTGTTAATCAACCGTGTATGTGTTGAAACGTAGGTGGGATTTCGTAGCGTCGAAGAGAAACGATCTTTAGAAATATTACTAAAGGAACGTCCATTTGACAAAGCAAAATTAAAACAGTTCTGCTTGAGGTTTACGGTTCCTACTATACATAGAAATTTTCTCTGGAAAATATTATTGGATATCATACCAGTTTATGTAGATAGTCATAAATTTATAATGAATCAAAGAAGACTGGAATTTCAAGATCTGCATAAAGCGTTGAAAGTTACCAAGATCTTGGATGAGTACACAAAACCTCATTTAGTAGTTCTTACAATGTGGTTATTGCGTACAAGAAGAGCAAAACTTGATATGAGTGCCCAATTAGAAATTCCCTTGCATAGGTTTCTCTCAGTTTTGATATTTTCTTTAATAGAACTATAATTCGTTAAATTATTGTATTTACCAATGTATATATTCATTTTAGAGCTATGAGTAGAATGGCTGAAACATTGTGGCATATTGTAGATACAGACATTTATGATGAAAAACTTGTAGACACTTATTGGATATTATGTGGCCTCTTAGACCAAGTACAAAAGTTTCACAAAGAAGTCAGCAGGTTACAAGAATGTACTTGTACATTGTTAGAAAGAGAAGACTCAGAATTATATAAACACCTTATTAAAATTGAAGCACTTCACAATATTCCATATGATGTTTGGTTTTGTTCATGTTTTGCAGGAACAATATCTGATGGTTCTATAGCAAAGTTCGTATTATATTTCGATACAATTAAAGAAAGAATTATAAACATTGAATTCTATTATAAAAAAAAGTTATTGTATCTATTCATTACAGAATTTGGGATAAAATAGCTGTAGGTGCATACAGAATATTAATTTTTGTCACTGTTGTGACTCTAACAACCTTAAGACGAGTTCTACTGCGATGCGAAAATATAGACAATGTGTTAGATACTATTGGCAATGTATGAAAATATCTATGTACATAAATACATCTAGATGTGTGTACATAGTTGAATAGCCGATTGATTCCATGAAAATATTTTTTTCAGATAACAGAAGAAAGTTCAGAAGTAATTGTTAATAAAGCAATTGAATCTTGGCAACAAAGTGGGTCTACATTGATAACTATTTCACAAACTATTTAGAAAGATTTTGGAGTAGAAACGCATTGTAATGGATAATAGAATATATAAAATGTAAATATGTAAAAAGGTTTCTAATGTATACAAAAATCTATATCTGTGTAACATATGTCCTTATATCTTAAAAATAATTATTTTTATTGATGCATTCGTCATACATTTTACATATACAATTACTTAATTTATAGAGGTGTTAAGTCTTAAACTTGGACTTTATTCCTAATATTGTGATTCTTTTGTTTTCTTTTTTGCAATGTTATATTACAACAGTGTTAATGTACTCCAGTGTGTAACAGCAAGTTAATAAATTTCTAAATCAGGCGAAAACATAAAATTGTTGTATTTTATGCCTGTATCTCCAAGAACTTAATTGCATAATATAATATGCACTTTCATGAATTCATATCATGTTCTCAATCGTAATTATTAAAGTAATTCTGTCGTATGTTTCTCACTTGTGCAATCATAATGGAATTTTATTCCACAGTTTACCTTAACGATAATATAAAAACAATATTAAATTTCGATATGCATAGCACTTTTTAATATCAGATTAATTCCAAGCAATGGAATAGTACTGATGGATTGAAATGTCCAAAGATCGATTGAACTTTCTTTTGAACTTTTACAAAAGAAATAATATATTGCGATGTATGTACATTCTTTCTAATTTAGAAAATAGAAGGATTCTTGGAGAAATGTAAGATCATACAAAATTTTATTTCTTATTCACGCATTGCACCATATTTCATGAATTCCTACTGCTTCCTAACATTACGACTTTTGAGTAGATCTTCTGCTACTATTCATTCTTTGGTTTTTGCTGGGATATGAGTATCCCCTTTTATCTCTTAATTACCTTGTAACAAATAACGGCAATAACTTCGTGTATGCTGAAAAATTATAGTAACGAAGCTAGATTCACTTCACAAACGTTTAGAAGAAATTATATACTTCTTAAAAAAAAAAAAAAAAAAAAAAACATTAGCAGTGTGCAAAAATTTTAGCACATGATCAAACTTCATCATCGTAAATCGATACTAAACAATGTTGGCAAATTTTTACTTCAGAGAGTTATACTATGGCAATGCACATATAGTTCTGCAGACACTAATTCTCTCATAAAATACAAGTGAAATGCACAAATACACTACACTATTGTTGTATTTACTTAACATCAATGACTCCAATTTATAACATGCATATTTTAACATTAGGGAGACGTTGCAAGCGTTCAATTAATAATGTTTGCAACATTCTTAATCAAAATGTCCCACTGTTTTTTTTAAGGTTAAAAGTATAATTTTTGTATAAATTGTTTTTCTTTCTGATTAAGGCCATTGCATTCATTTTGCTGACGTCTAATTATTAAAATTAATATTTTATGCAAAGAAAATAGTTGACGTACTTTACAAACATCAGCTAACTCTTGCTAGGTATCGTATGCAACTGAAAACTTATTACCTACTTCAGCTATTTAGAGTTCATTTACAGTGTCTGTTCTTTCTTGTACTCGTCTTTCTAATTTAAAAGGTATGCTTAAAACAAAGGAATGCATGAAAATGAAACAAAATATATTCACAAATAAATAATAGGATTTTGCTTTTCAGACACGATTCACAAAAACATGGAGACTAACCTACATTTGAGTTTCATGATATGTGCGACCAAACTAACAGGTGCTTTAGACCTAAATAAAAACAAAAGAAACTATTAGCAACGAATGACGTGATGATAAAACAAAAGGATTTGACATAAAAAGTTTTGTAATTCTTGTTATAAGTCTAGTAAAAATACTGGTTACAAGTTTCATTCATTTCACAGTTTCATGCTATTGGCAAGCTACATAAACTAGGAGTCACTGATAAACGAATCAAGGTATCCAGTGCTTGACTTAGTACAAGTTGGTACTAGAATCGCTCATAAGAAAAGAACTAATATGATTATTCTTTTTTTTTTTTTGGATAACACAACACCTAAACAGATTGAATTCTGTTTCCAGCTCAACCTACATGTCATAAAACAAGCACTGCTCGTAAAAACGTTTCATAACCTAAATATTAAATGGATTGGTAATCCTAAAATCAAACTCAATTATTGACTTAAAGATGTAGTATAATACAATATAGACAGCTCTCTTAAAGTCCTTGCGAAGTAGGTGCATTCGATAGTAACGACCGCTTCTCTAAACATAGAGTTTCGTCACTGGGCAAGGATACACATCCCTCTTCTTTCCTGTGTTATGTTTGAATTTTGACAATAGCTATAGAGCAGCAGAGTTACAATTGTCGACTAGAGGTGACAACGGTCCTATTTTACCTTTTCCACTTCCTAGTTTGTCTGCCTCATAGTGTACATCCAATGATAAACCTTAAATTGTAAACAAATTAAATGCAGTGTACATAAATGTATCTTGTATATGTATGTATACGATACTGATCCCTGTATTATATAGCAACATTTAGCTGACAATAGACGCAAATAAAAACCACCACCACCAAGAATACATTTGACTTTTAACATAACTGTCAACCTTTAACGTACATTTCTGATATGCGTATTTACCGGAGGTCCTCCGGGAGGTGGATGGATGATGTAACGATCCTGTTGGCATTATATTTGATTCAGGTATAAATGCAGCTACCAGTAATGCACATATCACAAGTAATGCACCAAACACAAATGGTGGTCCTGGTACAAGCTGAAACCACCATTCCTTATTTTAGGTATTATTGGTATTATTGTTAAATGATTGCTAACAAGAATATTTCACTCATAATAAAACCTACCTGGGTTACTAGTTGTGGTATAATATCAAGATGCGTGGCAGTTCCTGTTTTATTATTTTCATCGAAAGGAGATGGTTTTGCAGGAAGGGGAGAATTATCGTTGAGATCAACGCGAAACAGATAGAAGATTACTCCAAACATAGCTGGCCCAAGACCGTTGCATAATCCACGCATTCCAGTTATCATGCCTTGTACCAAACCCTGCTTATCAGCATCAGAATGCATAGATATGAATGCAGAAATCGCAGGATATGTAATACTCGACACAGCGGCAAGTACCCCAGCAGACCACATCATCCTTGAATTCGCAAAAGTATTTCGTAAATTAAAGTAATCCCGTTTCGCGTCTTTTATTTTTTCTAAAGATTGTTTCATGAATATAAATAAGATTTGTTACCAAGTTTGGGAACCGAAGCCAAACCACATAAGTTGTAACATCTCAAATAAGAGGCCTAACATTATAGTATGTTTGCAGCCAAGGATCCTTATTAAAACACCCAAGACAATCTGTGCTCCGACACTCAAGACTCCAACCACAGCAATAAAAACTGCTACCATCAAAGCAGTAAATCCCATAACCTTAGTCAAATAGACAAATATACAACTATATTGTCCCGCTTCAGGAAGATAGCTCAGGAACACAGTAATACACAATATTAAAATTGTGTGATCTTTGCCAACCTGAAACATCATAAATGGATTAGGAATTTCGTTTTTGGTACTTGTCGTATAGCGTAAAAATGTCTTTTCAGCACAGCCCTATATTTGCGCATTTCGTTTAAAATAGAACACAAGAATTTGTAATTGCAAAAGTATATCTATTTTTACACGCAAACTCGCTAATTTGGATGGATTTCAAGTACATTTCCATTATATATGCTATAATTAATCACTTGCCTTTCCAAGGTAAGCAAAAGGATCTGCCTGCTCCCAAGATATAGGTGCTGGTGGACGAGCTTTTTCAGGCAAACTTTCAGGTACAGCCACTAATATAAAAAACACATCCAACACTGCAATGGCAGTTGCTAATGCAACTACAAGGTTTTCCCCGTACACTTTCATAATATGATCTCCTAATGCTGGACTTACTACCATACTTGCAGCAAAAGTTGCAGAGACCTAGTGAAATGTAGTAATGAAACGAAAATCACTCATTCAAAATTTGTTTAATAAAATTAATAATGTAATACTTACCATACCATATGCTGGAGATCTTTGATGTTCCTCTGTAACATCGGCAACATATGCAAATACCACTGAAAATGTGCAAGCAAAAACACCGCTGATGGAGATCATAGCAAAGAACCACCATGTGTTAATGCTCATTAGAGGAATCGGCGCACACGTGAAGGCTACTGTGATGAGTAGAAAGAATTTTCGACCCCACACATCGGACAAAGCACCGATTAACGGCGCGGAAAGAAATGACAAGATTCCTTTAATGCCCATTATCAAGCCATTCATCAGGAACGTATGACTTGGAAATGTGATATTCAATACAGAGATAACAGGCATGGTTAATAAACCCCATGCAAAAAATTCCAAAAATATTACAACCAGAGCATGGTACACACTTGCCTCTCCAATGCCAGAACTCTGAAAAATAAAGACAAGAAATTATATAAATGTGTCCCCTTCGAATAACAAAACGAATACACAATTCATAAGCAGCCATGATATCTATTTGCTGTACCCAGTGAGTATGGAACAGTAAAAAGATAATTTTATACGACATAATAATATCATAATTTTCTTTGAATTTATCAAAACTATAAGCACTTTGCAAATTATGACAGCTGACCTTAAGATGCCTGTAGCATTGCTGAGTAAATGTAAGAGGTGTGAGTTTAGCAATAGCATGTTCTTGGCTGTTGTGAATTTCAGAACAGGAAGGGCCCAGGCCCTCTGCTCCACCTTTTGCCCCGGGGGGCATGACCCCTAAGAAGTGCTACTATATATATTTCTTTCCATATTTACGATTCTATTAATTTTTCATTTATCAGTTGTTCAGATCCATATAATACTGTAACGAATAACTTGACTTAGCACCATATCAATTTTGCATTACTGTGCTTCTTTAATGAGGTTTATGCATTAATTCTGTACTTTCTTGTAAATTTACTTGCAGTATAGTCTTTAAATCTGCTTCTATAAATGTCCTTATTGTATCACATGTATCATTTTGTCTAATGAATTACAATCTAATTATTTATTTTGTATAGTTTATATAGATTGTATTAATCTTAGCAATGGTAGTATAAAATAACTGAATTAGTAATTACAACAAGCTTCTTTCCTGTTTCCATGATACTAAATTCTTATTATTGTAAGTTGTGCCATTAACAAAAGTTAAACAACTAGATTGACTATGTAGAAACTATGAGTACGCCACTTATTAATATGAAAAATATTGTGCAGGTTTGCTATTATCGTAAAAAACTCTAAATAATTTCATGAGGTAAACAAGGTGTGCCTGTCATTGTTTCATATAATAGATCGATTATTCTTTATTCAAATAATTCCATCATCATGATTTAACTTCTCTTTCCATCTGTGTAGATCTGTAGATCATACTTCTCATCTTTCTTTTCTTTTTACATTACTCAACAACATAAATCATTACTGTCTTGGAAATATATCTTTTCTATCGTGCGCACAGACTTATGGAAAGATTTGAAGTACTTATCACATACTGTAGTCTCAACAACTTTCAAGGGCAGCTTATTTAAAGAGCACTACATTGTTAACAGGTTACAGTCTAAACAAATACAAGAATTCTTTTTCTTTACATAGTGCCATTCAAGCATTTCCTTTTCAACCATTTCTGTTTGTTAAAAACAACTGTCACGTTTCTGTCAGACATTACTCCGTTTATTGTTTATTAATAACTCGATAACTGAATGTTGTTTTGTATGACGTCACACGATTTATCATAATTCCGAAAAGACGTGTACAAACGAAATAGCCGCTGACATTGAAATTTTCTGTGAAAATTGTACGACGAAACGTTACATTACAGGCATATTAAAAGAATGGTATGATCGGTAATGGATATCAACTGATCCATCGGTTGGAGTAATCCTTCTCGGATTTAACGTTTTTCGATGTCATAACTTATTGTCAGCACTTCATTGTCGAGATTTTTAAAACCGCATACTTTATCGACGATTTCTCAACTTTTATAACACACACTTTTATCTCTTTCGGTGGAACTATCGAAAAATTTAACTATAGAAACTCTGGACCACTGCATTGCAACTCTGACACGACATCGAAGCCCCCCTCCCTACTTTTAGCGATAACTCTAAAGCAGTGTTTCTCAAATTGTGATCTTCAGCCCCTGTTGGGCTGCAAAACAGCTGATTTCCACCTTTTGTTTGGTCGAAATATATCGAAGAAATGATCGTTTAATTCTACTTTAGAGAGTCCATCAACAGTTTTCCTTTGTTAAGGGGTCCTTGGAAAAGAAACATTTGAGAAACACTGCTGTATAGTTCTTACGTCGACCTTTACATTGCGCCTAACCTAAAAATCTACGTACGAAAAATGTTGTATCCTATTAATCGTGCATCTATGACAAAATGTTAAAACGAAAAGTTGTTTCGCTTTAAAGGATTTGAAATCGATGTATGTTTATCATTCATTCGTTATTCGGAAAGATAACTTCTTGTCAACCGCATATTGTTCGCAACTGATCAATATGCGCAAGAACGGTATTGCTCGAAAAACCTGTACATATATAATATTACTTTAATATAAAAAAAGACCAATAATTTATCACTCTAATAAGGGACGTTAATATTTTGATAAAAAAAATAATCTATGTATTTGTTTTCACGAGCGTGCGATTTACGGTCTTATAGATAAATCATAATCGCGACAATAACTTACAAGTTACCATTCTTTGTTCTTAAAAATCTGTTTGTTCTTTACATATTCATTAATATAATTGAAATTAAATATTTAATTATTTGTTTATTTGTATTAAATTTCGTTGATATAAGGAAACATTATTTATAGAATGCAAATAGACAAAAGAATCTGACATCCTATAAATATTATAAATATTTGTCAACCTTTTTTGTGTACAAATAGTAGTTGTAAAATGTAAAAGTGAAGATAAGAGTTAAACAATTATCCGTATAGTTAAATTAAAAGGAAAATGATATAGTCTAGGACACCTTTATATCTTTATATTGATAATTTTTATCTTCAAGTAAAACCTAACATTTCATACAGCGAAACAAAGAAGCTGGTTGCAGGTTGTACTCCATTAATTATAAAATATCAGGAATGAATAGAAGTTAAAGTTGCTTGTATTATATTTAAATGTTAACATGATTATCATTACAATATTACATATTACAATCAGTATTTTATATTCTTGATTGAAGGGTAACATAAAATAGATGCTCGAAATAAAGACTTATCAAGTCGCAAAACGATACATCTTTGATGATTCAAAATTTTTTTACATGAAATGTGCAAATTGCATTTCACAACAGTCATCTACATGAAAACAAATCTTACTAACAAATATGTATGTACATGAAAATGAACAAAGATTCAGCCATGTGTCAATGATATACAATTACAATTTAACCACGCTAAAACTCACACAAATTTCCATAATTATGAATGTTACACATCGAGTAGCATTTAATGCGGAGATCATTTCGTTATTATTTACTGTTTTATGCTACTTGACAGAGAATAAACACAGAATAGTATCGTCATACACGCCATGCATTCAACGAAAAATTCGTACTTACTTCCAATGCGAAATCAGAGGTAACACATAAAAGGATAAAGATGTAACTTAAAAATCTAATAGATATTAAACGGAATTATTCAGTACCGTAATGTCCCCATCCTTAATAATGAACTTTCGGCTTCGTACGATCATGCCCACGACCTTCTTTGAGACCTTGGCGGGCATATTCACGCACTGCGCACACAGACTCTTTCGCTTTTTTAGTTTCATTGATTCCTAAAAATTCGATAACACCGTGCGAGTCATTTTTCAGTGATAACCTTTCACGTAAACACCAAAGGGGATTTTAACTTTAAATCGTTCTTAGATCGCATCTACATAATGCAACAAACCACATTTAACCATGTCCGCAGACTACTACGGACTACCAGGTAAGTACGATATATTTTATAGAGAGCATAAACTAGGAAATTCACAGAATTCCCACGCGATGCCAGCGCCCCTAGGCTATCACGTAGTGAAACATTTTCTTATCTACAGGGTGTCCCAAAAATGTTGTAACATCTTGAAAGAGGTGGTTCGTGCAGTGATGGGCAAAACCCTAGGTTTCGAATAAATCTGAAGTTTGCCGATATGTTTGTCTCGTTTCCTCTTTTGAACATTTTCTAGAGAAAGAAACGAGACAAACACATCGGCAAACTTCAGATTTATTCGAAGTCTAGGGTTTTGCAAATCTCTGGGTTCGGGAGGTGATTTGAAACAACTTTGTCCTTAGCAAAAATGTTATCCGAGGCTTCGTTGAGGAGATATTAACAGAAAACCCCGACCAATCAGAGCGCGCGTATACCGTTGGAGCGGCCGTGGTAGGGAAGACTACGGGCTAGGCGGCCGCGCTCATACGCTACCGCGAGCGCTCCATCGGCATACCCGCGCTCTGATTGGTCAGTGTTTTCCGTTAATATCTCCTCAACAAAGCCTCGGACAACATTTTCGCTAAGGAAAAAGTTGTTTCAAATCACCTCCCGAACCACCTCTTTCAATGTGTTACAAAATTTTTGGGACACCCTGTACAGGTGCGGCATTAGGCTGCAAGGCTTATTTAAAAAGTTCCGCCTTAAACGCGGGAATATTTAAACATGGATAAGAATTTCACTATTCGAGCGAATTGATTGGATGCTATCAGAGAATTGATGAAAATCGGTTTATTCTTCGTGGCCCTCTATTGAAGCATTTAGGAAAATTAATTTCTCAAGGTCACTATTCTTATCCTACCAGTTTGTTAATCTATCGTTTAATCACTTCATATTTCGTAAGGAAGATTAGAGATGTTAGAATATTTTTTTAACAAATTCTTCGTCGTATTTGACGAAAAATAATATTGGTAAAAAAGCTAATACGTATATAGAAAATCTGAAAGTGCTTATAATGAACTGTTTTTATTTTGAATTCATAATTAAATATCTTTATTTTTTGCTGATATTGTATACATATCGACAATTGAAATCGTACAATGAGTCATAGTAGAAATGTCTTTAAGATAATAGACGTTAATCGGTTTTAGATCTGTAATGAGAGCGATAGTCTTTACAAATTATCTTTTAACTTTCTTGTTAATTTACTTTTAGCGATATGTATATCGTGTTCTTTTCCAGCAAAGTCGTACACGTAATTTCCCTCTCTATCATATGGTACGCCAGAGCTTGAAAACAAAATAATTACTAAATTTATATGCTCTAATAAACAGGTCATGATTAGATAATCGTAATAGTTTTAGTACAAAGAGCAATATTACAGGATTTTATTCTGGGTGTACTGGTTAGAGTCAAAGGTAAAGTCTGGTAAGGTCTAACTACTACATACTGTATATCATGCCATACCTTAGACGTGACGCTATTAATCATTCGGACAACCTGTTCAAACTAATTATGTACTGACAAATTATCGAGTAATTGATGACTGTTCAACAAACAATTAATAATATCGCGTCTATCTTATCTGGAGAATTCAATTCGTAGATCTGTGGCAAACTGCAGTAATATTACTTACTATACATATAGAGTTCAACTAATTTTGTAATCTATAACTTATTGTCTAAGTTCGAATGATGTCTACTCGAATAAAAATTACTTTTTGTACCAAGATAAAATAACGATTTCTTTGAATATTATGTGAGATCCAGAAGGAATCATGTTCTCTTTAAAAGAGCGGGGCTCCAATATGCTGATTACGTTACTGATCGAGCATAGGATGATTCACAACCGGGAAAGTGACCTTGACCGGTCAATATTTTCTCTTCTCGCTTAGCGATAAGAATATTTTGAAACGAGTATGTGCCTCTGGTTTTAGTTGTTGTAATTACCTATGTCGAAATGCTTCGGTAAGGTTCAGTAGAAAAAAAAAGAATTCCAATAGCGTAACGATTTATGTTTGAAAATCTTTTTCAGAAGAAAAATCAATTAGCGAGTATTACCGACAAATAAAACCGTCACAGCAGTTTTCAATGAACTGCGATCGGCTTTGTCTGATAACAGATCGTGTTTTGGTGTGTACGCAGCATGAATTCATAACTTGATCATTGTTAACGCATAGCACCGCGAGAGTGCGCATTATTCAGTGAAAAAAAATGGTGGTTATTTGGGTGTAGTCGGGCGATTTTCTGCAACACAAATGTGAGTACCGGCTGACTAATGAATTACGAGTGCTGTTTGTCAGTGCGTCGCGAAGCTAATATGACTGTGTCCATAACGGAGGTAATAAAACTGTCGATAACTGAACGAATAATCCGCATATACGCACGAAACCGCGACACTATGTAGGTATTGTTGTTTCACGCATCTCCGCATGACAAGTACCTTGCGGTCTTCTCGATGCATTTTATCAGTAAAAAATCTGGGATAGGCTCGTGACGTTCTTAAAGGATGAAGAGATTTGAATCTATTCGTACGGCTGGAAGTCTATTGCCGTGGGACAATGTGTAAAATATGTACTGACGCGATATTTTTGGGATAGATGTCACATTATCTTGGTGTCTGGCTATATGCGCGCGTACGAATGTGTGCATTTATTTGATTTACGGTTATATGTGTGTGGTACTTCCTCTTCACCCCGTAATACGCAGTCGTTCCTGTGTACAGCATGCAGTGCAACGATGTGTCCGTGAGATACGTATATCACGGTATATACGTAAGACCTGCTACTTGCTATATACTGTCAACATTTTTCAAGTGACTGTTCCATGATGCTTGACAACATACTGCGTTATTGACGAAGTAAATTTTTTTCCCGTTCATTTTCTTCGTTTAGACATGTAGTCCTGCGGTGGTTCCGTTCTTATTCGAGAGATTTATTAATTTTTTTCCTTGTTGACAAATAACGAAATATTTTGTATGCAACGTTAGATATATATCTGAAGCACTAATTCTGAGATCGGTTGCCCTCACATTTATTGGCAGTCGACGTGATCAACATTTATGCTATCGATGTTGCTAAATTTACACAATCCATACAGCATATAAACGTTTGCAAAACAGGAATTACATAGTGCTACAAGAAAGACCATACACACGCAATTCTGGCTTCTGTAAAATAGATTAATTCAAGGTTTATTGATAGAATCCTATTTCAATCACAATGTTCTTGTGCCCCTGATTTTGTTTCTTTTTCTTTTTTTATTCATAGAAAACAAGCTGTCGTGATTCAGTTTGATTTTTAATATAGTTACCATGCAAATACTAAATTATTCGTATATTTACCATATGGTATGTTTTATATATACATATATGTATATATGTATATGTACTCACACATCTATATTACACATAAGTATCAGCACATATTTAATGCAAACTTTCAGAAAAATTGTTAATGTTATTTAAGATTCTATTTAAAACAAAAATGTTTATTAAAACAAAGAAATGTTATTCTGATCAATGTCAATTATACTCAATGTGGAAAATTTAATTGAAATAGCAATTAATAATTTTTCCTTATTCTTTATCTGGGAAAAAATAGTTTGAATTCATTCTTAAATATCAATAAACCTTTGACATAATATTTAACTACCAATCATTATATTTCTAGTTGCTGAAATTAGTGAATGTATACGATATAATAATATTTTGTTATTTGAATTAAGACAATTATATATCTTCATTTTTAATATAAATTTTTGAAATCTTAATAATTTTTAAACAAATTTACAAACATATAAATGATAGGTAGCTACTTTATATCTTCTAAATTTTTGTACAATATACTTTGGGATTTCTGAACAAATTACTCTTTACTTCATGATTTTGTGTACTAATAGTACATTTACATTTTTTGAATTCATATATTTACAATTCTTATATGAATGTTATTTCTGATTTCAGAATCACTCGACTTGTTTGGTATTAAATATTTATTAAGAAGTTGAGATAACAGAGTATATACAATAAACAAAGAAGAAAAAATTTGTAATGAACAAAAGAATCATAAATTCTGTACGCTATAAATACATTCAGTATGTTATAGTTAGAGGAACGATCTTAATAAAAGACATGAGCTATTTCCCTAAAAAGTAATATGACGGTAAAAGTTTGCATTAAATTTCTAAGAAAGCCAATTTGAAGGGAAAACTATTTAGTAAACGAATAAATTTTATAAAGTGAGCTCATTCGTAAGTTGGTTATGTGCAATGCCGAGATGCTGCAATGAAAGCAAGGCAGTGAGTTCGGTGAGCACCAGTCAGAAACACAATACAGAGGATATTTTGTTAACACAAACTCGTACTTTTACAATTGGAAATCAGTTGGAGTTAGACGACGATCCACCCATTGTTGAAAAATCGCATAGAAGAGTACGGTGCGACTTAAGTCCAGTGCCAACAAACACGAGTACTAATTTGAATATAAAACTTTTGAGCATTAAGGTAAATTTATAATAGATTCGTTACAATTTTCTGTTCCTGTTTTTTTTTTTTTTTCATATAAATCTTCAAGTTTATCATTACACAAATAAACTATTTTTATATCAATGGTTGTAATATTAGAGTATCGATTGTAGGGAGATAGAAACACTCGTCAAGATCATCAGGTGAGCACTGGATCTGGTGGGTACAAAGAACGGGAGAAAGAAGCTAAAAAGAGAGCAGCTATAGGCAATACAGTGCGGGGACTTTTCTCATCTGGCCACAGCAGGCAGGACAGGTATAATGATGTCTGTATCAAAATCATGCTTCTTACATTGTCATTTTTTACATTCTGTCATTTAATTACTTTGCTGTGATTCATTTTTTGCTTCTTATTTAAGTGTGATACATTTTATACAATCGATATATGTACAAAGTGTCTTGCAATGTGTTATACAATCAAGTTGCAGGTGATTCTACATGCTGAAATAAATTGACCACTTTATTCTTGGTTGTATCACTCATTGTAGAATGCTGTGTACATTTCATTAATTTGGAATGCACTTTGCTAAGATTTCCTTGACATATTGTATCATTTTATAAATTCCATTTTCTGGAAAATTATTTTATTCAACTACTCTGTGTTATTAAACATACAACTAAGGATAAAAGTACATGAACTTTCTTAATTTTAGGTTTTCAATTTATTGAATTCTATTTTCATATATAACTGATGCAGTACAATAATATTTCAAATAAAACTACACAAGCACAGAAACTTTTACGCATCTCATCTGTACTGTACATGTACATACCGACAGTATTGTAGTCTGTAAAATATTAAAAATATTTCTTAAAACTATAGGTCCTAGTTAGTGTGTTCAAAGCATTAAGATCGAGTTGTATATATATTACAAAGAAATTCACGTTAAAAATTTGTACATAAGGCCAAAAACTATTGTAGTAGTGAAATTACCTTTCATTTTATAAAGTTGAAAAATTTCATTCAAAAAATAAAAATGTAAATTCAAATATATTTTCAGAATTACTGAGCCTCAGCTTGAAGTATGAAATTTTGTAGATATTCAAAGGTTAGTGGTTATACGATTCAGATTATTGTTATGCTGCAGTGTAAGATTATTCGGTTAGCACATATCACCCTTGAAACACAAAAGAAAAAATAATGTTTCATTGATAGAATTATTATATCATTTATATTATGTTCAGCTTTTAACATTTAAAAATTGCATTATATTCATAGACATGGTATATTGTGTTTCTAATTTAATTTATCATATGTATAAATAATATCTACATGTTTTATGTTTCATCTCTTGCGAGTTTCAGCAGTAATTCAAGACATCATTCATGACATTTTGGCATTATGTAATATAATAATTTCAATCCCAACATGTACATTTAGTACCGATGAGACTAAAAACTTAATTACCATCTCAATTTATATTTACCACTATCCATACTCATGTATGAGAAAGCATTTGAATACAAAACACGCGTGTGTATGCGTATAACATTTTCCTGTTACCCTTTTAGACCCATAAAACATTAATATTGTTTTAAAGTATTAAATATAGTTTTAATTTGCTTTTTTCGGTAGTTGTATTGCCTTGCAAAGATCGAAAATAAGTTTGCTCCATAATATTAAAATGAAGCTTGTTGTCTTTTAAAAGAGTAGCTATGTACAAACATGTAGATCGATTACTTTATTAATGCACTTCTAAAAATTATGGAAGGATCATGTAACATAACTTAGTTAAATTATATATTTTTCAATAAAACAGAATAACGTTTAAAAGACACTTTACTACATTCTAAGAAATAAAAATTGCAGTTTTTTCAAAGGTATGTAACTTTAAAATTACATAGTATCTTCAATGTTGTTTTAGGTATGAGACAAATAGGCAACGTTCTTCAGGCGGAAGTGCCCTGTCAAGTTTATGTCCAAAGCTGGTGGCCAGTGGAGGTGGTAGTAGCCAGGGTGGGATTAGTTTGGCAGTGGGACACTTAGCCTCTCAGGAAGGTGGAGGCTCATGTTCTGTTGTTACTACTCAAAGAATTCATAACCACACACATAATCATAAACGCCAAAGAAAATTGTCTATTGTTTCACAAGCTGGCACTAGTGCTCATAATAGTGGGGACCGAAAAGTTTGTATAGTTTTATATTAATCGCGGTGATATCAATTTTCGTAACAAATAATAATCGTGTACATTTTACTTAGGCATCAAATATAAGTCGTTCCTCTACAACAATTTGCAAAAAACAAATACGAACGCAGAGGAGTGATCATAGCGGGGATTCATTATCTATAACAACGAATGGAGTTGCGAGTAGCTCACCTTCTTCTAAAAAGAAAGTTTTGTCTGCACAGCGTATTTCTGAAAAATCGTCATCTCGGAATCTCAATTCACCATCTTTAGACAATGAAAATGAACGCAGCTTTAGCGATGCAGAAGAAGCTATTACAGCAACAGAAAATGTGTTCAGTATACCAGGTACTATATACATACGTACATAAATTTCATAGTATAAACTTGAAAATATCACGATTCATATTTTATTTTAATATGCAGGATCGAGTTCTACGCCTTCGACGCCAATTAATCGAGTGAAGTCGAAAAAATCGGATGAAGATGAGAAAAGTGTGGAATGCAGTATCAGTGAAGAAGGTGCTAAGTCGTCACAGAATGTATCAGATAGGAAAGTATCATTAGATTCTAGCGAGCAAAAAGTTATAGAATGTTCTGAATCTTCTAAAATTTCAAATATAACAAGAAAAATATCGGCAAATAGTATCGATGAAGAAACATCTACGCAAAATAAACAAAAAGTATTCTCTACATCTTCCATAAGTACGAAATATAGCAGCAGCGAGAACAAAACCGCAAAATCTAAAAATAAGTATGTTACAGAAAAATTAATCGAGCAGCAAAATAGTAAAAATTTAAAAGAGACAACTATGGAAAAAAGTATAGATACGTCTGTAACGTGCACGACTTCAGCAGTTAATATTAAAAATAATGATAAAACGAAACGGAAAATGTCTAGTGATTCTTCGAAAGCTACTGATATCGCGGAAAAGGAAGATGTGACGAAAGATTCTGAAGAAAACGTAAACGAGGATAAAAAGGACATGGAGCAACATGAGGAAGTGGTGAAAAGTTCAAGGTTTGTGACGTCAAAAGTGTCAGAAGAGATAGTGGAAACCGAGGGCAAAGATATGGAGACACAAAGAGGAGACGAAGAAGAAGAAGTGACGATATATGACGAAGATGACAATGGCACCAGTATCAGCGATATTGTTGCTGCACAAGCGCTTCATGAATCTCTGAGTAAATTAGGAAAAGTACCACCTTTAGACACAGAAATGGAGGATGTTAAAGACACGGATACGCAGGATGAGACGAAAATGGCGGATCATTCTCAGAAGGAAGCAGTCGCGCAGGAAGAAACAGTGGAGGGTTTTATTGGTCCTCTACTTGATGAAAATTTTAAAGCGGACGAAAAATTAACGCAAAAAACAATGGCAATGGAAGAAGTTCAAAGTCTATTGCAGAAAGTTAAAATTCAAAACGTCGAAGATGACGATGACGAAGAAAAAGCCATAGGTATATCACCGGATGGCAGATTTTTAAAATTTGAGGAAGAAATCGGCAGAGGCAGCTTTAAGACTGTATACAGAGGTTTGGATACTCAAACTGGCGTAGCTGTTGCTTGGTGTGAATTACAGGTGAGAAAAATAAAATCACGTATTTTGACATGGTGTTATAGTTGTAATACTTCGAAATGCATACTTTCTTCTAGGAGAAAAAATTGAATAAAACTGAAAGACTGAGGTTTCGAGAGGAAGCGGAAATGTTGAAAGGATTACAGCATCCAAATATTGTTAGGTTTTATGACTATTGGGAAGTTACACTAACACGTAGGAAATACATTGTACTAGTCACTGAACTTATGACTTCAGGAACATTAAAAACGTAAGTTAGATTCAAGCATTTTTTTTTTTAATTCGATTACTGTTATTGCTATTCTAATTTGTTGTATAATTGTATACAGGTACCTACGACGTTTTAAAAAAATTAACCCGAAAGTAGTGAAGTCTTGGTGTCGGCAAATTTTGAAAGGCCTTAGCTTTTTACATTCTAGATCACCGCCAATTATTCACCGTGATCTGAAGTGCGACAATATTTTTATTACTGGTACCACAGGGAGTGTAAAAATTGGCGATTTAGGTCTTGCAACTCTTAAAAATCGAAGTTTTGCAAAGAGTGTCATTGGTACGCCCGAATTCATGGCACCTGAGATGTATGAAGAACATTACGATGAATCTGTTGACGTTTATGCGTTTGGAATGTGTATGCTTGAAATGGCTACTAGCGAATATCCATATTCTGAATGCACTGGGCCAGCGCAAATATACAAACGAGTAGTATCGGTAAATAATTTACTTAATATTAATTTCTATTTAATTCTACAGATTAATTACAGATGCTATTAATTCCCGTTTTTATTGTGCAGGGTGTCAAACCACAGAGCTACGATAAAGTAGAAAATCCAGAAGTACGTGAAATCATAGAAATGTGTATTCGGTTAAAAAAAGAAGAACGGCCATTGGTCAAAGATCTTTTAAATCATGAATTTTTCGCGGATGACGTTGGATTAAAATTAGAAATGGTTTCGCGAGATTCGGCTGTAGCAGACACGGAACTATCTCGCGTCGAGTTTAGACTCCGGGTACTAGATCCCAAGAAACGTACCAACAAGCATAAAGAGAACGAAGCGATACAATTTGACTTTGATATCCAAGCTGACAACGCGGAAGAGGTAGCCTCGGAAATGGCTAAATCTAGCCTCATACTCGAAGAAGACGTTAAGGCTGTAGCAAAGATGTTAAAATCGCAAATCACTACTTTATTACGGGAAAGAGAAGAACGTAAAGCCAAAGAAGAAAAAGAACGTCTAGATAGAGAAGCAGACACCACTAGCACGGCCAATGAAAATCTATTGCAACAACAATTATTACTCCAACAAATGCAATTACAACAACAACTGCAGTCAAATATTGGCATTCAAATGCAAGGCCAAGTACAAATGCAATTACAACAGAACCAAATACCTCTTCAGTCGCAACAACAAATGCAACCTACTACACAACAATCTCAGCAACATAACTTGCAACAATCTCAACAACATAACTTGCAACAACCTCAACAACATAACTTGCAACAACCTCAACAACATAATTTGCAACAACCCCAGCAACATAATTTGCAACAACCCCAACAACATAATTTGCAACAACCCCAACAACATAATTTGCAACAACCCCAGCAACATAATTTGCAACAACCCCAGCAACATAATTTGCAACAACCCCAGCAACATAATTTACAACCTCAACAAGTTCAATTAGTTCAACAACAACCTTTGATACAGCAACAAACATCAGTCGTTCAACCACAGCAAGCTCAGCAAATGCAACAAGTACCGCAAGTTTCGCAACAGCAAGTACAATATCAACAGCAGCAGTATCAGCAACAATTACAACAGCAGTACCAGCAACAACAGCAACAATATCCTCAGCATGTTTCGCAAAATTTAACGGCTACTTCTTCGCAGTGTTCTACTCCTCAGACTGTGCAAACTCAACCACAGTTTCCTCAAGTAACTCAACAAATACAACAGCAGCAACATATGCACCAACAACAGCAATATATACAGCTGAATCAAATGAACGTGCAGCAGCAGATGAGTCACCAAATACAGTCGCAGATGCAACCTCAGATACAAATTTTATCTCAACAACAACACGTACATCAACAGATTCAACAACCACAACAAGTGCAATATCCGCAACCACAAGTACACCATGTACAACAAGTACACCAACACGCAGTGGGTTCCGCATCCGTTCAAAATCAACAATTCTATCAACAAAGTACCTCGGGAAATTCAGGATACAACCCACAGCCTATATACCAACAAAACATATCTCAACAAATATATCATTCGTACACCAGTTCCAATCCTCCTGGACACGTTGAAATGTTATCATCCAGTCAACCCACAACCCAAATTTATCCCCATGCAAGTATTCCCGGAAGTTCAGCACCTTCAGCTTCGCAACCTTACATGCAGCAACAATCAGGACAAGTTCAAACCTCCGTACCATCCAACATTAATCTTCAAAGTTCATCATCCGCGACACTTATACAAAGTGCAACGACTTCCACTATTCCAAACATGCAGAACGCATCTACAATTCTTTCAAACAGCGGACACCAATCGCAATCCCAACAAAACGTTCTAGTTCAAATGCAATATCCACAAAATTCCAACGTCCCCACTTCTGTCCCTATGTCGTCTGGAATGAGTGTTCCCGTGCAATCAACGACAACATCGCAGCATCAGCAACATTTCGTTTCAACTACAGATCAGTGTTCTACTACAGAAAGATCATCTTTGCCTAAGCAAGATACAATGGATTCCATACAGTCTTTGCCACCAGATGTACCCTCTAATATTCAAGATCCAATGAATGCACCTAATTCGACTAATGCGAATGTTACATCTCAATCTACAGCGTCGAGCGACGGGTAGGTTTCGAAATTTCAGTTATTCTGAAGGGAGTTACCACTTAAATATTTCATTGAATATTTCGATTTTGTAGAACAACTCAAGAAAATTCTGAGAACGTCACCTCTGAAAGGTGTAGAATAAGAAGATCTGGTACAAAGCGCAAAAAACCTGGTATTAAATTGACAGTTTTGTCTGTAAGCAGTGGTGAAGGGCAATCGGTGACTGTTGAATGTCAGCTAGACACTAGCAAACAAAAAACTGTGACATTTAAATTCGATAGAGACGACATGGTACCTACAGATATCGCTAACAATTTGGTAAGCACCCGATACTACTTTAAATGTTACTATTACAATAGATAACAACAGAAATTTATATTACTGTTTTTTCTTATCTTTATTGCAGGTTGCCGAAAATTTATTACCTCAATCCCAATGTGAAACATTTGTAGAATTGATAGAAGATATCGTTAAACAATTACGTTTGGATCCTACACGGGCTTTACCTTTAGTGGCACATGGTCCACCGGATCAATCAGCCGGTGGTAGTCCAGTTACTAGCCGTCGACCTAGAGATCGTGACCACAGTCTTGATACAGCTAAGGTAATGGTTTTCTTTTTATCGTCGTTTCGTGGAATGATTATTAATAAACCCGAAGATCTGAAATGTTTTCAAAAATGAGTATCGTTAATAGTGTTATTAGTTGCTATTTAAGGATTCGATACACAAAAGTCCATAATACGTATCACAGGACTGTTTTACTTCTAGAGAAACGATCATTAAGAGTAATTGTCGTCAAATTTTTTGAATATTATTTTCCATAATGGAACTATATACTTTATAAATTTCGTGTTAGAATAGCGTAATGCGGTCTTGTGCTCCAAATGTGTATCTCATGACCTCGCAAAAAAAAAAAACAAGGGTATGCATATAATTGGTGTGTATCGTTTTGGACGCAGCAGGTGAGACATGGCTCGCTAACTCGTCAAAGCAGCCACCGATCGTCGTACAAAGTCCATCGTAGACACCGTTCGGTGAGTTCATCGTCCCCGCCGTACCCATTCCCGTTTCCTATATTTCGTCGTACAGTCGTGGACGTTTGTACATCCTTTTTTTATTCACGATACATTGTGTTCGGACGTTTGTGTATCTTTTTAAGGCACAGCAATTTCATATGACGACATTTCCTGTGTTTTATAAGTTCATCCGCATAGGCAATTCATAATACGATCTTTGGAGTATTTAAATAAGGTGATTCATGCTTTTATTTTTAGTGCTCTTAATCCTCACACCTAATTTTTACTCAGAAAGCGTTTCAGGAAGATTATATTTCTTCATTAGAATATGATTCCTGTTAGTACTAATTGTCATACATTTGTATAAATCACTGTATTTCAGAGAGTTCTGTATGTATAAACCCTGAATAATGCAAACTGCTATGTCAACATAGACAAACAATTTTATATTCCTTGAAATAGCATTTATTCGAACAGATTTCGCTAAAGGTAGTATCATTTTGGTATAGATGTTCATCATTTAGATATACGTACTTTTGTTTTCCTTCAAACGTGTTATTTATTGTAATTCTATTTAGGTTATACTTTGTAATTAATTATTTAGTTTAGCTTTGTTTTGTTCATGTGTATTGCAATCATTTCGTGATAAAGCCTATCATTTTCAATTAAGCAATTATATATTATATGTTTCCAGAGAGACGAAACTTCGAACACCTCTACCCCAACAAAATTATTGCCGATCGATCAAATTATTTCTCACATTACGAGTGCCTCTACGGAAAAACAGCAAAATGTCCAAACACCTGACAGCCAAGTGGGTCCTGAAAGTACATCAGCTGAAGCATCCAGACGGTCATCTACCTCCACGCAAAATACAGACACGTTAACGCCGACCAATTTACCAAGCGATCCAACTGATACTCCAGAAACTGTAGTCCCTATGATAAATGCGGACACAGGTTTCGAAGTATATCAGTTGCCCAAGGATGATATTTCTAAGTCTTACCAGAGCTCGACATCGTACGTTCAAAATCAAATACATGACGCAGCTGGAAATCAATCGAGCGAATTATCAAAAGAATCTGTAGTTCAAGATACAACTGAACTTCAAGAAAAGGAAGCAAACAAAGAAGCGCAATCCGACCCCACATCTACGGAAGTGGCTGCACTGACTGCACCACCTCCGATGCGAAAAATTTCTCGCTTCTTAGTCAGTCCTGTAATCGAACAGAAGGTTCTTGGAAATGAAGAAGAATCAGTTACAACTGCAGACAGTACAGATAAACCTAATGTTTTGGCAACGCAACCGAGTTTATTAACACAGTCCAGTGTAGCTGACGAAGGACAATTAAAGCACGACGATTCGGAAGTAAATATTTTAGAAACGCAAGCTGCACCCATTCCTGAAAAGTCGAACGTTGAAACGATTATACAGAATGTACAATATGTCGGGGAACAAGTAGATAATGCTCAACCTTTGCAAACAGGACAACAAACGGTTGGTATTCAAAGTACTGTGCAAGGACAAACGATGCAGCCTATGCCACAGATTCAGCAAAATATTAATGCTATGCAATCTAGTCCACATAGTGTAATTATACCAGCATCAACGATAACGCATCAATCATCTCAACAAATACAACCCGCTCCTCAAAACATCGTGGTTGCATCGCAGAAAGATTTGCAAGCTCAAGTTTCTTCGAACAGCGTCAATTTACAGGGACAGTATCAGAATCAGCCTATACAGTCTAATGTTTTATTGCAACAGCAACAAATTACTGTGCAACATAATTTAACGCAAATGCATATTCAACCTGAGCATCAGCATCAAGGACAAATGCAAACTCAACGACCGTTGCAGCAATTCCAGTCTCAACAAATACCGCAGCAACATCAACAATATGTAATACTTTCCGGGCCGATACAACAGTTGCAACCAACTGCGATTGTAGACGAAAGAAACCGCAGGATTTCTAATATTTCTACAACGTCGAATTTATCTACGGATTCGCAAATGTCAGAAACGGCTAATCTTACAGATGACAAAAAACAATCAATGGTTGCACCTAGTACATCTATGCATTCTGTGCAGCAACATGTTCAACTACTTCCGCAAGAGGGGTCAAATATTACACCTCTTTCACAGACTGTTTTAGAGCCAGTTCAACAACTTCAAGCAGCGCCTCAAAATCTAACGAATGTTCCGACGAACACATCTGCTCCTGTTTCAGTTCCTGCTCACCAAGTCCCTGCAGAAGTTGCTCCAAAAGTTGCACTAAAAACGAAAGAAGTGTCATCAACACTTCCAGACTTAGCACAAAATTTGGCGAATATACTTTCAAATCCTAAATCAAAGTCTACAACGCCTCATTGCTTGACTAGCCACGAACAAACGCCGATTCCAAACGTTGCAACAGCTACAGTACTCGAATATAAGCCTACTCTTCAATCTGAACAGTATTTTCAACCTATTCAACCCGAAGCAAGTCAAATGCAAATGCCATCGCAATTACAACATAATTATCAAACAAATATAGCGCAGCAAGGAATTTCACAAACGTTTCAAATTACTCAGCAGTCTCATCAAACACAAATACCTTCGCAACAAACAATGCAGTTGAATGCAGCTCAACAAATGGATCCACAGTTGCAAATGTCGCAACAAGCTTTTCAAGGAATAGCGGTTCAAGCGTTATCCTTGCAAGGGAAGTGGGTTCCTGCCACAAATCAAACTATTATGCAACAGACTGTACCAATAAGACTTACTCAACAAACTGTACCACCATTGCTACAAACTGTCCCTACACAACAACAAATTATACAAGATACACAACATTTAGAAAGTTTTCCTACACCTGATCAGTCTCAATTACATTTAAAACTCCCAGATCAACAACTCTTGGGAAAAACAACGGAAGCTGAAAATCAAGATTTAACTAACTCTACTGGGTGCGTACATTGCAGTTAAGAAAATAAATTTTTACAGAATTCTATAGTTTATATAATTCTTTATTTTGTTTATTCATTAGGCGCATTAGTACAGAATATCATCTACTATCGGAAACCGAGAATTCTAGCCACGACGTAACTCCTGAACACACGATCGTTGAATCTGTAGATTCAGGATTATTTACGCAAAACCAGATATTACAGCAACAACAGCAGCAGCAACATCGGAAACTTAGTCAACAAAATTCTTTAGACAAAGTCTCAGATGCAACTATTGGGACAACTGGTCCAGGTGGGACAGGTCCACAGACGATAGCGGATCTCCACCAAAAACTTGTGCAGCTAACAAATCAACCGTCCGAAGCACTTAATGTGGGCACACCACCTATAAGTTATCCAGCCACCCCTCATAATCATCAAATAATAGGAGGATACGATGCATATATGCATTCTTTGCAGCAGAAGCTTGTTAACATTGGTATGCCAATCTCAACTACGCATGGAATTGTAAGTATAAGTTATTCTTTAAAAATACATAGCAAATTAATCATTTGATGATTATCTTATTAATACAAATAATTCATTGTAGGGACCTTTATCGCCTCAGACAACAATACATTCTTCAACTTCCTTAGCCGATTCAAATGTTACAACAAATGTTGAAAATTCCGTTTTAGGCCATGAAACCTCCATTCATCAACTTGCACTGTCTCAAACCGTAAGTTTCGTATTAAAAAATTAAAAAATACGACTAATAAAAAGTAATATTATAAATTTCAAATTTGTTTATTAAGTAGTTTTCTTATTATTGAAAATCATCTTATGTGTGTAGCATGTAGATTGCTCTCTCGATAGTCCAACGCCGGGAGTAGGTCCTTCGGGATCGGAAACCATGAGTCCTAGTAAAGAGAGTATAAAAGTTCGAACGCAGAGGCCTGGTTCTCGTCTCCAGGAACTAGAACAGGAATTAGCAAAGATTCATCACAGAGGCTCGATTCTCTCAACAGCTTCTCCACAACCTTTGACGCCGCCCGTCTCTGCTATTACTTCTACTCAAATGCAGCCATCGTTGCAGTCTACTCAAAATTTATTAACCACTATTCCACCCGTAACGACTGTACTTGTTGCCAGTGTTACCCACAGTGTCGTCACCTGCCGCTCCGACACGAACACCCCCGTGCTAACAGAATCTCAGGATAATGCTTCTGAGGTATGTGTACATTTAAATAATTGCGCGTCAATGTCTACGATAATAGATTTCCGAAAAATAAAATAACTGTGCGATTTTGATAGAAGGTTAGTACAACTCAACCTGTTAGAAAAATATCAAGATTCGTGGTTTCCAAGGTCGCAGGTCCTCCAAGCAATGCTGCCACATCAACTCAACAACACCACACCGAGGATTCAAAGACTTATCACGCGGAGGACGCACAGGGTAAGCATTCTTGAGTATACATTTTCATTGCTTAAATATTTTAAATAATTTCTTAGTTACAGGTACATTGGTACAAGTAGTTCATAGTCGCGAAGGTTCTATTCCACCCACGCAACCTACTCAACCCATTAATGCTCCTTTAGAAGTGAGTATCTCAATTGCAAATATATTTACTATCAAACACATTAATAATATTTTAACGAAACATCGATGTATTACTTTCAGCCAATGGAAAAAGATGAAAGATTTTGGACATTGACGCCGAGCGAAGAATATCAGTTGCTCATAAAAAAGTAGGTTGATTTCTGTAAGAGTCAAATGATCACGTTTTACGAGAATTACGAACTAATCTGATTCTTCTGTAGGCAAACAATGGAATTGGAGACATTGCAGAGAAGACACAGGGAAGAATTGGAACGTTTCCAACAACATCAATTACAATTACTGATTCAGCAGCAACAACAAGCAAGTGCACTTCATCAGCATCATCATCAACACCATCCGGTACTTTATCACACCGTCGCGACTAGTCTGGCGGGTGAGTAATTATTTTTCATTTGCGATCGATTTTTCATTAATTCGTATTATCCGTACAATTTCTATCGTCTGTTATAATGATGTGATCTTTTTTATTTAATACAGGACAAACTAGACTTCCAGGTACAGAAGACTATTTAATGTTTAATACAACGCCTCAAACTCCATTGCAAAAAGCATCAAGTAATTATCCAGACACCGATGAAACGTTACGATTAGCTATGCAAAAATTAAAGCAAACTCCTTTGCAACTACAACCGCAGCAGGCGACAGCTGGAATACCACACGCTTACGTTATTCCAATTCCAGTAGTGCCTTCTGAAACTATGCAAAATATGCCCTCGCAGCAATCCAGTAGTTATACAAGTGAAGTAGGAGAATCGTTTGATTCAACGCATAATTCGGCAATTATAAATTCAGCTCAATATCAGTTCGCACCTATTATACCGGATGGAACGAATATTGCGGTGTCCTCCACTGGATCATTAGTCACGCCTATTCCAATATCGAGTTCGACGGGAAGCGGGGGTTACATCCAATATCACGAGAACCAACCAGTACCAAACTTTCAAACTTTTAGCTGTACACCACACGGCGGTTTCTTTTTACCAGCTGGCTATCGACTAATATACGCTCCACCAGGGGCGTCTCAGTCTCAACCAGCTACGCCAGCCACTCCGCACATAGGAAATTCTCACGACGGTACACCGCCAGCAGAACCGTTACATACGAATACTGATAATTCAACTGCTCCTCCTTCTCATACCGATCAATAACGTAACTTTCAGCAAACTATATTCTACTATTTTGAATTTATTCGTTCTCGTAATACATTCTTAACTTAACTTGTTGCCCTTATCCACTAGGTATGAGATCATACATTATCATTACAATTGTTATCCTAATATAGTTTTGCTAATACGTATATTGCTACCCTCGTTCTCGCGGGTGTGTATGCAGGGAAGACGCGAATGAAAGTATTTAGGATGTATATTCGATATTGTAACATCCACGCGTTAATCGCTAAAATATTTTCGCTGTATAACCGCGCGAGCATTATATTAACATTTGATATGTGCCTCGCAGCAGACAAAAAAAAATCAATTCATACGCGGAGAATATTTTGAACGAACGAATTAAATTTCTGAACGAGAAAAAGATAATGAAGAATGAATTTACATTAGAGGCCTTTACATGTACTGTGCTTATAATAGTTGAATATCCTTGTTTAGTAAAAATGCTTATCGAAAAACTTATTCTGCTCTGAATTCTTTAATAGCACAGTCTACATTAGTACAGGCCTCAGCTAGTCTTACGACCGAAATGGCTCACAGCCATTCTGCTCGATGTATATGTATAACTGTTAATGTATACTGGATGCTTTGAAGAAAGAATGTATGTTCATGTGTGTATGTATATGACTGCAGGAGTCAGATGGAGAAAAATATGATTAATATAGTCACTGTTATGCTTTAATGTATTTCTAGCGATTTTACCTACTTCTATTAAAAAAGTCATGTGTTACTAGTTAGCAGTCCCATGTATCTTATCTAATATTATATCGACTACTACCTTTTTTTAGACTCCATTATCAATATTTTTGTTATCGCATATTTAATTTATCGAAGTTTCAAATAGTTTCCCAACAAAATTGGCATTTCATTTTTAACTTGTTGGAAAATATGTTTACATTGTCCATTCCTTTTGAATCTTGTAGGAATTTTATTACTTTACAATTTCGTTTCTAACGTTTAAATTATATCTAAAAATGTTGATGATAATCATCCTAGGTATTGAGAGTCTAATAAAAAAAAAGCTCAATAGAAACATGGCATGGGTTTTAAAATTTATATTCGTTTTAATGATATCAGAACATGAAATCATTTAATGTTTGGTTCACATCCTAGGAAATATGTTTTAAAGTTTCATCTGTGCTATCACATATTGCATTTTGCAATATAGTTAAGAATAGCTTGTTTGTATAACTACAAATATTACTACTGTTTATTGATGATTATAATGTTATCATTATTTCGTTCAAATAATTGCAGTCCGCGTCGCTTTTAATGTTGCGAGTTACTACTGCTTCTGACATGAATTTATTGTTGTCAGTATTACAGTTACGAAAACTATTTTCAAACTAAATATGAAATTTTTCTTACGATCTCCAATAACTATTATACAGTTCATGATCATGTACAGATCAAGTTCATACATTTTTAAAAGTTCTTTCTTACATGCATTACTTGTACGTTTTACATACTATAATTTTATTGTGTTCTTAAATTTTTCTGGAAAACAGAATAAATATAATCACCAATCCTAGTATCCAGTTAATCCACCTGGTAATAAATTCATGTGGCTGTTGAACGAAACACTATAACAGATGATTGTGCGTATTTCTCATGGAAATACATTACAATTATTCTTATATAGTTACTTTTAAATAAATTTAATAGATAATACTCAAAAAGAACGTGTAACTTGTAATACTTAATTGTACATACATTCATTTACTGTTAGGTGGATTGGCTTTTAATGAAGATGCAGTTTCTATGATCGATCATTAATAAAAGCCGACTATTTAATTTCTTTTTATATAAACTGTGTTTAGTGTAATGATTTACAGTGATATAGTTTGGTAAATATTGTTCTTCTTTTTAATTTTACAAGCTTATTCATCAAACGCGATGAAATACGAACAGACAATAGATTGAAAATTATTTCATTAACATTGCAATGAACTATGTCCTTCTAAATATATTTTGTATAATATGATTTTAACTGTATTTAGTATAACAATAATACGATTGGAGTAATTTTTTTTGTAAAACATTCTTATTGTTTTACCAAAGAGTACCAAACAGTACTGTTACATATGAAGGAACAATTCAATATAAATTCATCACAATTCTTTTCTACCAATATGGCATCTAACTTGATGGAATTGAACTTAGTATATTCAAACTTAGGTATCACGATATATTTTTCAGAAAACATGACAAAAAAAAAGACAAGTAAAAGATATTTTGCTACATTTTAAAATTCACACACACTTTAGTACATATTGATGGATCAGAATTCAATGAACTAATTTATTCAAATTATTTATTTCACAGATTCACGTAATTAATTGCAATATATATATATAATCAAATGTAGACAATTTGTTGATTTATATATATTGTATGTATCATATAAGTACATTATTTTAAGCTTATAAATATGTTGCATGATATTTTAAAAATGCAAATGTGAAAAACAGATGTTCTCACATTATGAGACTATGAGTTACTAAGGACTTGTTTTAAATCATACCAAATTTTTTGCTCTTTCATACGTGATCGTAAAAAAGACGATAATCTTGTCTCGTAAAAACAAAATTATCAAATTTATCTAGAGATTGTAATGTTAAAAAATTACTTTGAGTCAAGATTAAAATTCAGCGATTAAAGACAAAAAAAATGTATGTAATTAATACGAAGCGTATTGACTTGAATTCTTAAATTTCTTGTATTAGTATTTAGTTATCTTGCTTATAATAAAAATGAAAAACATGAAAATTGTTTATATAAAAATAATCGAAGAGCTTTCCTGTGCTGACTAGTACATAAGTTCATAGATGCTTTAAGACTTGTGTAAGCTGTGTTGCGTGGGATTCTATGAGAAGTTTTATAAAGACTGATTAGATAAAAGATGCATCAACATTCAACAAGTTGCAAATCGATGTAAAATTAATTTAAATCCTTTACTTATGTAAAAAGGAATTATAATTGACAGAGGTATATGAATTTTCGTTGAAACAAACTTTTTCATAATTTTAGTCAATTAATGCAGAGGAACTTGGAATGATTTATATGATTGTGCTCAGAATGATATCATCTTCCATTCCTTAATGATGAAATAATTGCATTAAAATATAGCTTATGATGTTAATTAATGCATTGTATATTTGTGAAAATTTATGAATATATTACGTAGACAACAATATAAAATTTTTTAATTGGTATAGTAAGTACTATATCTTGAATTAATACATTTTATGTTACATAATTATTTTTAAACGTGCAAAAATATAGACATACAAATCCTATTGTGTGAATTCAATTAGATATATCAAACACGTACATTACAAGTAGCTATAATCCAAATGAAACAATTAAAGAATTTTATTTATAAGCATTTATTTTTTGAACTTATATTTTTCTTCACATTAATTTAATGCACATGATAATCTTACATCATATGGTTTTTACAATTTATACCTATCTTCCATTTCCTTTTTAGTTCTTTTCTATTTTATACCTTACTTAAGTGTTATATCACGCTACCAATGCAACTAAATATCATTGGCATACAGAAATAGCTTATTATAACTTGTATATATAATGTAAAACTATAAATATTACTCTTATTATTATCAGATATTGATTACAGAAAAAAATAAATGTACTACTTTTAAAATGATTCAAGTAATCGCATAATTTCTTAAATGTTTATTGCAAGATGAGCTATAAACATTAAAAAAATCATGCATTCTTTGAATCGACTTAAAAGTATCTAGTTCATTTAAGTTTATTAGTTCCAAAGAAATTTTTATGAAAATGTAAAACTTTAAATTACTCAACTCCAGTCATTTGAAACATTTTCTTCCTTAACTTTAAATGTGTCAGATATCCTGTAATTCAAATGAAATGAGTTACTAATAAAGTACACAGAATAATTCAAAGTAATATATTGTATGTATATCATGTATGTATGTGATTTGGTAGCTTGTCCGAGCACTCAGCTTCAATGGACCATAGGTAATATATTACTTAAAATACAAAAATTGATTAGATGAAATAGAAGGTGAAAGTAGCTATTGTAATATAGGATCTATAATTGATTATTTGCAATAGGAGAAAAGTGACTTTACTGTTCCTTTGTATCTTTATTATTAAAAATTATAGAATTATCAATTCACGCTAGGTTGAATTACTACAAACTTCTTCACAATCATAAATATTAAACTATATGTCAAAGTACTTTTCAAGTAGCGAATCGTACTTAATTAGAGTCAAACGTATAATATACTTACTATGTGACGAATTCCGGAGAGGCATGCAATCATAATGGTTGCAAAAGGTTTCGACGTCGTGCATAAGCACCCATGCAAGCAAAAAATCCAACAATTCCGATGATCAATCCGAGAATCAGTGCTAAGGTATCTCCGAAATCAAACCCTGACGAAGCCGTCGCAAAATCAAACGTCGCGAAAATAGCGAGCAGGGAGTAAATCCACATCTTTTACTATAAAAAAAATAGCTGTACTTAAACGTCGTAGTAAATAACCTTTACGACAATTCGCTCTGAATAAATACAACACTTTTATACAACATTCACAGGTCTCATATATTCGTTAATATTATAGCTCACTATGAAGCTCTTGCTGCTTCTTTCGTTTCACATTATTGTCACACTGCACAAAAAATGAAGAACGTTTACAATTATCTAATTACTCAAAGGAAACGATTTATTTACTAGTAACGCGTCGATACTATTTTGAAAATTTTATGGAGCAAAACAGTATTTCAATTTGAGTACGATGGATTAGAAAAAGTAAAATAACCTACTCGTTACTTAGAAGGTATATTATGCTATAATATACGCACCTCTAATGATAACTGTTCGAAACTTCAAATCGCTTCAAACTAATCGAGATAATGTCGATGTGAGATTGTTACAGAGTTTAATAAACTTAGGATATATTATTACGCATATATTAGGGGATAGAATAAGTTTGCGTAAAATGCAATAATTATGACATTGAGACTTAGTTTAATGGAAATGCAATTATTTCATTCCAAGAATCGTGTGGCTCGTCTTAGAACACAAAAAAGTTGTCTTCTGTAAGAGACAATTTATAAAGCATAATTTGTTTATTCGTTTTCAATTACATTGCATGAAATGAATATCATTATTTTTTTTCTCAAAACTAAGAATTTTCTAAAATTCTGTCTATTTCTCTTATAGAGAATTTTTAATCATTTCCATGCAACATCCAGCATGATCCAGCAGACAAATGGGCAAACCCACATGCCTACGACGAAAGTCCATTGGTCCACTGTATTTCCAGTAGCGTATCATAGACCTAGCATATATCTACTTGACAAATGTATTTTAAACATATCTTTACTTATAGTGTTTTATTTGATATCTTTACATATTTTCTCTTATTAACTCTCATTCCAGAATCCTAATTATTAAAGGGCTGACAGCAAAGGCGATATTTAACTATAAATTACAATGCGAATACTCAAAGAAAATTCTGTTATTCTCGATTTGTTTAGTGCTACAAAGTACTAAACTCTTCAAAATACTCGTTGGTTCTCAACGTTTAATTAGGTTCGATAAATTTTAGTCGAGCCTTTCGAAAATAGTGAGCCAATCAACAGACAAACATACAGAATGTCCTAAAAATGTTGTAACACCTTGAAAGGGGTGGTTCGGGAGGTGATTTGAAACAAGTTTTTCCTTAGCGAAAATGTTGTCCGAGGCTTTGTTGAGGAGATATTAACGGAAAACACTGACCAATCAGAGCGCGAGTATGCCGGTGGAGAGGCCGCGGTAGCGTATGAGCGTGGCCGCCTAGTCGCTCCAACGGTATCCGCGCGTTCTGATTGGTCAGTGTTTTCCGTTAATATCTCCTCAACGAAGCCTCGGACAACATTTTCGCTAAGGAAAAACTTGTTTCAAATCACCTCCCGAACCACCCCTTTCAAGGTGTTACAACATTTTTGGGACACCCTGTATATAATCGCCTGTCGTAGAATCTAGGTTGGACAATTTGTGAATGCAGCGACACAACCTAATAGTGACGTTTAAGGTTCAGCTTCGTGGTGTTTAAGGTGGCGTCACTTGCTTGCTGGGGAAGTATAGAGACAGATATACTAGCGCGTATCGACCGAGCAAAAACAATTTTTTCCAACGTTGCTTACAATATTTCAACTATTTACGACAGGTACAGTGAACAAAATTGTGCACATTGTTGTTCTTTCCTTGGCTCATGTTTTTCCCATCTTAACGTGTTAACGTGTACCTTTTCAAGGAGATAATCACTGTCGTTTTGTAGCCATTTTGCTATCCGTTGATAAATGCAAGACATTTTCGTACCGACAGGTGAACCGCGTACTTCTTGTCACATATAAAATCTTATGGTTTTATCAGGATACTTGAAACGATCATTTTAATGTAGAAATCATTCCTTCGAAGCCGCAATATCATGTTAATGGATTTCGTATCTATAAAGAATGTGTACGAAATGCACGCTCGATGCAGAATCCTCGAATGCCCGTGTAAATCAGTTTGAAAAGAAGTATGGATGAACCTGAAGGACGAACACATTTAGGATATACTCCTCTTTATTAATATTTTATTAATTTTGTTTTATAACCGTACAATTGTAAATATTGCTCATCTATAAATGGAATTAATGTACGAGTTATATGTAGGCTCTCTACATACATAGAAGTAGATAAACAGAAAAGATGCATTTTGTAGTTAATATAAAGTTTATCGTTAATAAAAGGCTGCATGTATTATACTCCTTATAAAGGTACATCCTATCTTTTAGAAGATCTCGAGTGAATTAGAATTGTTTTAATCATTTAAGGTACATACTTTGTCAACCGAATGTAGACTTTATAAAGTTTATTGTAAAAGCTATTGGTTCTCTTTCTATCCAATAGTAATAATCATTTGCTTATATATAATATCTTGTTGAATGCATAGTTATAATATTAATTTTTGTACATTGGTATATAATTGTATGTATGTAATATGTAAAATTCTCTTATCAGAATAAATAATATTATTTGTCATCTTTCAAAATTATATTATATATTATATATTATAAAATTATATTATAGGTTGTACCGTAAATGTATAAAGTACACTCTTTTTTAAGCGCCACTTGGACAACAATATTTAGTTCAAATCTACTATGGAACAGTCCCACGAAATATTAGATACAATAGAGACCAACAGTAATAAAAGTGTGATAGAATTATTAAAAAAAGCAATTTCACAAGAAAACATCATAGTAGAGTCAGAAACTACAGAAGATTCTGAAACAACTGAAATAGAAGAAATTATAGAAATAATAGAAGAAGTAGAAGAGGAAAGCGAAGAATCATTGGAAGCCGATGATCCTCTGAAAGGAATCAGTGATAAAGATGATGAAAGAAGTACAGAGAGACTGCAAAATGATCTGTATGATCGAAGTTCTGAAATGGAACTTTATGGTTTGGAGGAAAACAATTCAGTTGTGAAACCACACTCTGAGAATGAAAATGAAAGAAGATATCGTTCTCATATGAGCAGTGGTAAACAAGTTATAACATATGATGTAGATGAAGATTGGCAAGATGAAGATATGGATGAGGAGGAAAAATCTGAGCAGGATTCAGACACTATGGATCATTGCATAGAATATTTACGAGGACAAAGAACACAACACAGAGATAGAAAATCTATAAATAATCAAACAATTATTTTTCCTTTACAAACAAACAGATCAGAATCCCGAGATAATGTAGAATTGCCTGACAGAACAGAGAAATCTAGGTTAGGTCAAGATTTAAAAAATAATGTAAATAATGATGAAAATGTTGATACAAGCATAAGTCATGAAATTGTGAAGAATGTTGAAAATAACTTGCTGTATACTGTCCTTGGTACAAAGAAACAAAACACTGTCAAAACACTGCAGGTTGACAAGCTCTCAGATGCCCATTTCATTAAGGTTTGTACAGTTTTTATATTAATAAGATAAAAATTACAATTGTTAATATTACTTCTAAATATAAAGTCCTTATTTTTAGATGGAGCAGTTGGATGAAAACACCATACCAATCGAAGGAACGATTTATTACGAAGGAGACAACATAGAAGCCTTATATGTTGCACAATCCGTAGATGATAACGAACGTTATCCATACAATCCTGTGCCAATGGAACAAGATGAGCAAGCACCTGAAACGGTTCATTCGGATGCCAATCAAAATCCAGAAAAAGAGAATTCTCAGGTATTATTTCTGAAGTGAAAAATTAAAAATATTTTTCAATATCATATAATTCTAGCATGATATAATTTCGACTAATTTTATTTTAGGACCAAATATTTTTACACGAAGACGAAGAGGGTCAGCTATACTTCAAAGACGACACTGGGACTTTACAGCCAGTATATTTAACCGAAGATGGACATTACGCTATCGCTGAAAACGGTGTTGATCCCATTAGCCGAGAATCACAAGCTAAATCTCAACAAAATGCTAGACAAATCAAAGAAGAATCGTATGTTCTACCAGATATCGACCCCAAGTTCCCTCCCAGTAACACACAGGTATTTTCAATAATTTCTGCAAAATGTACTCGACAGAATTTCCCTATTTTCATTTTTACTACCTTTTAGAACTCTGCAGTGTCTGCTAACGATCTGGAAAGTGAGGATAATACAGTGACCATTTCTCTAATCATATCCGAGGATGAACACGGACAGAAACGAACACAAGTCATTATACCAACAACAGATAATTTAAAATGCGATATTTGTAATAAAAGTTTTAAAACTTCTTTCCAATTACTTCGACACAATAGACTTAAACACGCCCGTGAAGAAGATGTTACAACAAGAAACTTCCCATGCGACTTATGCCCAAAAAGGTGATTTCTTGTGAACAATATAACTTTCATATATCTATATATGTTTGTTTTACGACTGAAAATAATTGATTCCTTTTATTAAAATTGTAGATATCCAGATCAAAATTCTCTAGCTCGTCATAGAAAAACTCACACTGGTGACCGACCGTTTCAGTGCCTCGAGTGTCATAAAAACTTTCCAACGTCTACCGCTCTACGTCGGCATTTAACGCTTCATAATTCACAATCTCGACCTCTTCCGTGCATTTACTGCGGTCGTCGCTTCGTAGAGAAAGCTAGTCTGGTCAAACACGAGCAGTCACATTTGGCTGACGATCAGCGGAGCCACACATGCGATGTATGTCATAAATCATTCTTACATGCAACTGATCTGAGTCTACATAAAAAGAATCATGATCCCGATAAGAAATTTGACTGTGAGGTTTGTGGTCGAGAGTTCAACCGATTGAACAATTTGCAGAGACATATGATGGTACATCAACAAGTACGTATGATAAATACGATCTTAGCGTTTAAATCTTTCGGGTCTCGTACGAGAAAAAGGTTCAATATATAATTTGACATTTCTCATATTTTCTGCAATTTGTCGCATCACGAAAAATATTAATATAATTCCAAAAAAGATTTTCCATTTCGAAAATTTTTTTTTAATACGAACAATTCATTATTGTGACACGTTTCTTTTTATTTATGAACTTTAGCAAGGAGCAAACGAGGAAATACTCTCTTGCGACGTGTGTGGCATCACGTACAAATTCATGAGCTCGTTGACGAGGCATATGGTGACGACGCACATGAATCCAGAGAAACTGAGACAACAAGCAGCTGAACAACGGAGGAAACGGGAGAATAACTATCGTCGTTATTTAGAAAATCGGAAAATGTACGATACGCAACATTCGGGGGGATTCGTCGCAAAACGCAATTACCAACATAATACGCGTTCGCTTAGTGGTAGTAACGAGGAAGCGGCCTGATTTGCATTTTTTAAAAGTCATTCGACTATCGAGAAAAGTACCATGATAAAACCGTGATTTCCAAATGAAAAAAAAAGAACGAGAGAAATAGAAGGAAAACAGTATGATAAGTCTACGCGTGATGTAGTGGATATTCGTGTATCATTTTACTGCTATAGCGACAATAGATGTGCATTTAATTTAA